GTAGAAGAAAGAAGCATCCCGCACCATCAACACCAATACACACTCCCCACCCCTCCCTCCCTCCCCACTCACACCCCCGTTGGGGATCTGCATTTCCCTAGTACTCTCCAGGGGCTGCTTTTCCTAGTCCCAGCGTCTCTTGCTCTACAGGTTTTATATTGCTTTACATAAATAGTTTGGTGACTATGATTTTTCCTAATCTTCTATTAGTGGTTCGTTTCAATAAGATTTTCCTTTCCTAATTCTGCTTTGGTGAGTTTTTTTGTTTAATACTCTGCATGTGGCAGAAACACAATATATATTTGTCCATTTATTATTCATCTTGAGGAATCTGGGGTTGTTTTTGCTTTATAATTTTTGTGTGTGTGTGAGGAAAATCGGCCCTGAGCTAACATCTGACAATCCTCCTCTTTTTGCTGAGGAAGACTGGCCCTGGGCTAACATCAATGCCCATCTTCCTCCACTTTATATGGGATGCTGCCACAGCATGGCTTGACAAGCGGTGTGTTGGTGCGCGCCCGGGATCCAAACCGGCAAACCCCAGGCCGCCCCAGCGGAGCGCGTGCACTTAACCGCTTGTGCCACCAGGCCAGCCCCAATATAAATATTTTTTATTATAAAGTTTTACATGTTTATTGTAGAAAAATTAGAAAATAATAGATAACAAAAAAGGAAAACTCATAATCATCCATCCCAAATTTTTTAACTGGTAGGTAATATATTCTTGTATATATGTTTTTGTTGTTGTTTTGTTATTGTGGTAAAATATGCATCACATAAAATTTACCATTTTAATCATTTTTAAGTGTACAACTGAGTGGCATTAAGTACATTCACAATAGTGGTGCAACCATCACCACTATCCATTTCCAGAACTTTTTAATCATCACAAATTGAAACTCTGTACCCATTAGACAATAACTCCCCATTTGTCCCTCCCCTAGTCCCTCGTAACCTCTAATCTACTTTGTCTCTATGAGTTTGACTATTTTAGGTACCTCATATAAGTGGAATCATACAATATTTGTCCTTTTGTGTCTGGCTTATTTCTCTGAGCATGTTTTCAAGGTTCATCCATGTTGTAGTATGTGTCAGAATTTCATTCGTTTTCACGGCTGAGTAGTATGTATGAATTGTGTGAATGTACCACATTTTGTTTATCCATTCATCTGTTGATGGACATTTGGGCTGTTTCCCCCTTTTGGCTATTGTGATTAGCCAATCATAGCTGCTATGAATAAGCGTGTACAAGCATCCCACATTTTTGTATACATCTCTCCTGACTATCATCTATCTATCCATCTTTCTATGTTAAAACATATAATTTACAAAATAAAACAAAAAAATGAAAAACATATAATTTACAAATACAGGTTACACTATAATCTGCTTTTACACTTAATTTTTAATAAACTTTTCTTATCATTAAATATTCTAACATAATTTTAACTGCTGCATATCATTTCCTTATATGAGTATAGAATAGTAAATGTAATCAATCCAATACCGTTTGACATTTAAGATGTTTCCCATTTTATGCTATTATAAATGACAGCTATAGCTAAGTCTTTGGCCACATTCTTAATTATTTCTTTGGGATAAGTTTCTTTCTAGACATGAAATTGCTGCAATAATATAGCTAATATTGAGTGCTTTTTATGTGACAGACAATTGTAATAAGCACTTTACTTATCCGATTTATACAAGTACTATTATTTTGCCCATTTTATAGATGGGACATAAAGGTCCAGCTAGAGGAGGTAGAATTGGCGGTAGCTGCAGGCTCAAACCCCATTTGCTGCTCCCAGGATGGGCTCCAGCTCTGAGCTTCTCAGTTTGCAGTTCCCCTTTTGTAAATGGGGATAACAATACCAACTTCTCTTGGCAACTGTGAAAACTAAATAAGTTAATATATGTAAAGTGCTTAGACTCATGCACTTAGTACATAATCAATAAGTATCAGTTATTATTGTAAATGTTGGGGTATAGCAATTTCATTGGCACTCGTATTTGGCAGTATTTTTGTTGTATGGATTCTATTCTGCTTTTATAGTTTGAATCTTTTTTTACTATATCATTATACTTATAATTACTTTACTCATTCCCTTTATTGAAAGGAAATATAAAACCTCTCTGAAACCAAAGGTATACACCAACATTTACACCAAAAATGTGCCCAATGGTCTTGTTAAAAAGATAACTGAGTATAAACATATGAAAAGATGTCAACTTCACTGTTAATCAAAGAAACTCAAATTAAAACGACCATAGCCATGATACCCAGTTGGCTAGAGTATGTGTAAAAAGGTATTCTTAAACACTCTTGTCAAGTACAAATTAGTATATCCTTTCCCCAGGACAATTTGGTAAAAAGTATCAAAATTTTAAAGTGCAAACTATTGAACTAATCAATTTTACTTCTAAGACTTTCCCTAAGGAAATAAACAAGTGCCAAATGATGTATATGGAGGATGTTTCCTGCATCATTGTTTCTAGTAGCAAAGCATTTGAAACCTATGCAACCTGTAGGGGAATGTTGGGCCCCACCTAGGTCCCCTTTACTTGCAGGTACGCACCTATCCCTCAGCTTTTATGTGGGTCAGAGAATTACCTGGGGAAGTTATGGGAGGGGTGGAGGAGCAGATTCTGGCAATGACTTCCGCTTGGGATAGTCAACAGACTGAAGCTCACCTCCAGCTCTGAGACCACATTCTTTCTTAGTTTTCTCCCTGCCTTTTCTGCTTCCTCTCCACCTCCTTTCTCCTGAGAGCACTCCTAATAAATCACCTGAACAAGAGTCCCTACCTAAAGCTCTGTTTTTGAGGTACATGATCTAAGATACAGCCATTAAAAGTGATTATGAAAATCTATATTCACTGACCTGGAAAGATGTTTATAGTATACTAAGTGGATGTAGAAGATTCATTTTTCATAAAAGCCCAATGAACAATAACAATAATAAAAAAAATGCCAGAAGAACAGAAGTCAAGCTATATACTCTGTATGGACTAATATATTATGGATTCTTTTTTTTTTTTTCCTCCCCCAAAGCCCCAGTAGATAGTTGTCTGTCATAGTTGCGCATCCTTCTAGTTGCTGTATGTGGGATGCGGCCTCAGCATGGCCGGAGAAGTGGTGCGTCTGTCGGTGCGCACCCGGGATCCGAACCCGGGCCGCCAGTAGCGGAGCGCGCGCACTTAACCGCCAAGCCACAGGGCCAGCCCCTGGATTATTTTCTTAAGTTATGATAATTGTATTGTGGCTATATAGGCAAATGTCCTTATTCTCAGGAGATGCATGCTGAAAGGGTAGAGGTTTCTGCAACTCTTTTCCAGTTTCAGTTTTCCAAAGCGTGTGTGTGTGTGTGTGTGTGTGTGTGTGTGTGGAGAGAGAGAGAGAGAGAACAGATATAGCAAATGTTAACCATTGTTGAATCTAGCCAAAGGTAGATGAAGTTCATTGTATTAGTCTTTCAACTTTATAATAGGTTTAAATTTATTCAAAATAAAAAATTGGGGGGAAAATGTACCTTCTGAGTATTAGGATTACTGTGATTTTAGCAGTATCAGGAATTGTGAGAATTGGTATCTCTTAGTTTTTGATTCTTGCAGCCAAGGACTTTGTGTGCTGCACCTGCAATGCTGATGTCAGCTGTTTGTGGCAAAGCATGTGACACCACTGTGATGAACATTGACCTCAGGGGCACTGTACACTATCTGGGTGCTGGCTTGTGCCACCCAAGGGGGCTGCATGTGAACATTGCTCCTGCCTTACACCTTTAGCTTGTTTTCAAGTCTGTTAGCTCAGTAGACTTGTCTCAGCTGAACCTTGTATCTGCTAGCTAGATTAATATACTTTCAATATGAGCACACCCTTGATTCAACTCTTCCACTTATGGGAACCTAGCCAAGGGAAATAACTACAAATGTGCTGATTCTACTAGCAAATAATCAGAAACAATCTCAATGGCCAAAAATGGAGGACTGACTTTCAGAATCTTATGCAATCACTGAAAACAGTACTGCAGAATGGGGCGACTGACATAGATAGTCATGACATACAGTGAAGAAAGCAGGTTAAAAAGTGTATTGTATGAGCAAATTCTATTTAAAAAATTACAATTACATCCAAAGATTTGGAAGAATCCAAAGATTTGGAAGAATGAACACCAAATGGTTAACTTGGGCATCTCTGGGTGGATGAAATTTTGAGTGTTTTGTTTTTTTGCATATCCATATTTTCTGACTCTTCTGTAATAAAACATGTATTGCTTAAGCATTTTTAAAAAGAAACCTTATTAAAAGATAGGAGATAAGACAGCATGACATTTTATAAACAAATCCAATTATAACACTTCCTCATAATAAATTATAATTTAAATGTGGGGGTTGCATAATACCTAAATATTTTAATCTTTTAATATATCTGCTTATAAGATGCAGCCTGCATTGTGGTCAAGACTTCAGGTTCTGGTCTTGGGATAGCTGGGTTACATTTGAGCGGCTCTGCCACAGCTGAGTGACCGTAGAGCCTGGCTAACTAGCCTCTAAATTTATGTCTTCATCTGTGTAACAGGGATGGCAGTAAAAAAACAAACTTACAGCTTTGTTGAAGGTTAAATAATACACAAAAGGCTCTTGGCATAGTGCCTAGTAGTACTAAGTGCTCAGTAAATGTTAGCTATCAGTAGTAAATTAGATGTTCTCTGGCTTTCTTCAAGGGGCCAGCAGATGCCTTCTGTTTGTGCTAACAGCAGGAGTCCTTGCCTAAGCCTTAAGGACTCCCCCAGGCATTCTGATACCTAGCTTTCTGTCAGAGAAGGGAGCAGGTGACAGCAAATAGCAGCAAAAACCATTCAACTTTCCTGAAGCCTCCTTATTTCTGGTTAGGAGAGAAAGTGCTGATTAACTGTTAATAGAGCACAGTGCTCATGGGCCAAAGGTCAAAGACCAAGGTCTGATGTCCCTTAACACTAACCACCACTGGGGGAAGAAAGTACACTTTTAGGCCACACAAAAGACAGCATATTTATTTGGAAAACAATAGTTTCAAAATTACCTCCCAAACTCAGAATCTGTGGGCCAGGGTACACACCCTAAGTAAACCAGTGGGGTCTTCATTAATTGTTCACTTATTAAATACAACTTTAATTAACTGAATATGTGGAGTAGTGTTTTTCCACATTTCTGTGTTAAGAATCACTTGGAATGCCAGAGATTAATTCCATTAATTAATACATTGGGCCTGGGATGGGCCAGTAATTTGGAAATCTTTATTTTTACGAGTACCTCCAGATGATTTTCATGAACAAGGAAATCTGGGAAACACTGATGAAATATGCTTTTCAGCTTCCTCTGCAGATTTTAAGTCTTGAACTACTGATCCCAGAATGACCAAATGAAAAGTCTTATCCAGTCCACTTGTAGGAAAGGAAAGTAAGTCTTCTGAAAATTTGGTTTCAGAGATTCTCCACTTTGGAAGCACCGTGAATACTTTATTCTCGTTATTTCCTGGAAGACACCTTTTCTCATTTCCAATTCTGGCCCAGCTCTTCTAGATCACGTTTTTCTTGGAGGGTCTATCTTCCTTGAGTTGAGGTATAGCAATCCAATCATTTAAAAAATCGGTTTCTTTTAAAGGATTGTCACATTTAATAACCTATGCTTGCTTCTGTCTTGCTCCCTCTTCTCCTGAAACACGTTAAAAAGTTAGGGTGCTTTGTATAGACTCAATATTCTGTTTTTTCCACCTTAAATCTCATACTGACGACCCCGTGTATGCCAGCCTGGATCTCATCGTTTTCTTTAACGGGTCCCACTCCCTTTGGCGTCCCAGTCAAGATAATATCTCCTTCTTCCAACGTCATTATCTTAGAAACGTAGCTGATGATGTAGGGGATAGAAAAGATCATGGAGGATGTCTCACCCTCCTGCCTGAGTTCGCCGTTGACCTTGAGCCAGAGCTTCAGGTTGTGGGGGTCAGGGATCTTCTCTTTGGGCACGAACGCGCTGACGGGGCAGGAGGCCGTGAAGCTCTTGGCCAGAGTCCAGGGCAGCCCCTTCTTTTTGCAGTCGTCTTGCACGTCCCTGGCGGTCATGTCCAGGCACAGAGCATAGCCCGCCACGTAGTCCATGGCCGCGGCCTCCGGGACGGCGCGGCCGCGCCTGCCCATCACCACGGCCAGCTCGAGCTCGTGGTGCAGGTTGCGGCTGTAGGCGGGCATGAGGATGGGCGAGCCCTCGGGGGCGTAGGCGGTGGACGGCTTCAGAAAGAGCACGGGCTCGCTCGGCACGGCACTCTGCATTTCTCTGGCGTGGTCCGCGTAGTTCCTGCCCACGCACACGATGTTCTTCCCCCACTCCCAGAAACGGGACAGCGGCCTGCAAGCCGCCATAGCTCCTGCCCGGCACCCCGGAGCCACAGAGACCTTGCCGGGCGGGTCACCTGACGCTTATGGCTACCCGGAGAGGACCAACTACCTCGCAGAGTTGTCCTGTTCGCGACGGCCCGTTCCGCTTGGCGCTCCGCCGAGTGCCGGGGTCGCGGCGCTCGGCCTCCTGGGCTTCTGTCCAACAGCTGCCTCGGGGTTGCCCGGCCTCTGGACGCCGGCCTGGCCCCCACAGAGAGACGGAGACTGGGGCGCAGATCTACAGCCGCCACCGCCGCCCACGTCCCAGGCGACCCTGTGGCCCGCGGCAGCCGGGCGGGGGACCGGCACGGGTTTGGACGCGAGCGCTGATTGGCCGGGGCTGGGGCGGGGGCGCGAGTCGGGCGCTG